ACTTACAGAACTATATACCAAAATTTGCTATAAGTTTGATTGCATCATATAATAATTGCTGTTAATAGTGTTCATCGTCTGTTTGATTACGTCTTTAATTGATTTTTCTTTACATTTCTGCCATATGTACATTAACTGACGGTCACCACTGATAAGCTACTACTAAATATTGTAGAAACTTAATTTTCTGTAAAGTTGCTTTGCAACGATTTGTATCTTAAAAAGTGTTATACAAATAAACTCGAGTTGAATTGAATTGAATAAAAAAAAGGAGAAATTCTTTTATTTTTTTCATACAGTTACAATGAACAGAAACTAAAGCTGTCAAAGGACACAAAGCACCAAAATAGTATCATTGAAGTGGTCCATATAAAAGCTATATGATAGTTTTGTGTATGACCGTTCACTGAAAATCAGCGGAGATCGCTCTACCTCTCACCAACAATTGAGAGAAATCCCAATCTCCAGTTCATTAACAAATTATTATTTTTGATGTTATCTTTTCAGTGAACCAATTGATCTGCTTCACGAAGGAACAAGGAGCATTTCAATATTATTTTCGTGAGTACTGAGATACAGGCCTCTCATCAAAACAAGAATCATTTTGATATTATTTTTATACTGTTGTGGATATATGGCTATAAAATGTCTATTCATGCAGTAGGGAGTCGTTCACAAGCTGCACAATAAAGAGCTGCTTCATCGCTGACAAACAATAGAGTTCTGTTTCCTTTGTACAGTAGGTAAATATCCACCTCCAGTGCTCTTTTTGTTTTCTGTCTTATAAAATATCCCTTTATTATTATGGTGTGAGAAACAGCTGCCAATGATTCAGTGAATGGGTGAACTGATTGAATGAATCAAATTAAATGGCAAACAAACACACCTTTTTGCAAACCCACTGACATTGACTGGAGTATTTTAATACATTTACATTTACATTTAGTCATTTAGCAGACACTTTTATCCAAAGCGACTTACAATTGGGGGATACATAAGCGATTCTTCTTAAAGAGGCAAACAGACACAAGAAGTGGTTGTAATACCAAGTTCTTAGACATTGTTCAAATAAGTACAAGCTAGAAAGAGAAGGAATAAATAAAGAGAGAGAAACTTTTTTTTGTATTACTTTTTTTTATGATGAAGTCAAGTAGCTTCGAAAGAGATGGGTTTTCAGCTGTCGCTTGAAAATTGTCAGGGATTCAGCATTCCGGATAGGGGTGGGAAGATCGTTCCACCAGCCAGGAGTGGTGAACGAGAATGTTCTGGAAAGTGATTTTGAGCCTCTCTGTGATGGTACCACGAGGCGTCGCTCACTAGCGGATCTCAGACTTCTGAAGGGGATGTAAATTCGTAGTAGTGAGTGGAAGTAGGCGGGTGCTGAGCCTGTGGCTGTTCTATATGCAAGCATCAATGTCTTGTTGAGCAGTGGGGTTATCCGAGCCTGCTTGAATGCAGTGGGGAAGGTGCCTGTGAGGAGAGATGTATTGATGATGTGTGTGAGTGTTGGTAAAAGTGAAGGAGAGATTGCTTGGAGGAGGTGTGAGGGGATTGGGTCTAGAGGGCATGTTGTAGGATGGCTGGAGAGCAGAAGTTTTGATACTTCTGTCTCAGTGAGGGGACAGAAGGAGAAGATGGGAGTTTTTGCAGTGGGTGGGGTTGGTTTGAAGTCCTGTGTGTGTGGGGCTGAGAATTGGCTACTGATTGTTCTGGTTTTGTCAGTGAAGAATGTGGCAAAATCATCAGCTGTTATAGAAGTGGTAGGAGGTGGTGGAGGGGGACAGAGGAGAGAATGGAAAGTTTTGAAGAGATTACGTGTGTCTGGAGTGCTGTTGATCTTGTTGTGGAAGTATGAAGATCTGGCAGTATGGACAGTAATACATCACACGAGTTGTATGAACCACTTTTTTGTGTTGCACAGAGGAAAGCAAATGATGATATAATTTTCATTTCTAAGAAATATCTAATTAATGCAACTGAAGAAAAGGCAGAGGGGAAAAAACACAACAACCAGTGCTCTGAGGCTACATGTGACCTGTGTAGAGTACATGCACACAAAAAGTTGTCTGTCAGCGTCAGTGAGGAATGCGGTGTAAATGTCCTTGCTGCTGAGCGCCTGCATGCAGCACTGAAGTTTCCGTTCTTCCTTTCAGAAACCATTCTGAATATGAATAAAAAATGAGCTGAGAGCGCAAGAGAAAGAGAGACTGCGAAGGAAAGTGAGAACAAGACAAAGAGCTGGTGAGTCTTGAGAGAGTGGGCGATAAATTGCAGAAGTAGGGTGAACTACGAGAAGAACATGTGGGAGGGGTGAACACGGAGAAAGGTGCCTGCATGAGAAAGAAATGACTGGGTTCCTTTGAGAGATGTGGCAAAAAGGCTTGTTGTTGCCAAGATGCCATATACATAAACAAAAAAAATTCTGCTGTGGAAAATGTATTAATACATTAGCCGTGGGAGAGGCAAACCTCACATGGCTAATGAAGTTCACACATCCCCTCCTTCAACACTATGCTTCTCCCATGATGGCATGCACTGCAGCTCTACATGTTCACTGGGATATGAGTTCAAAGCATAAAAACAGTATTTTTTAGAAGATTAGAGAATATTCAACTTGAATCCTTCAGCAGGTAATTTAGGTGACTTAAAAATAAAACACAAAAATGGGTTTCAAAATAATACAAAGCTAGAGTCAAATATAAGGATTTTTTTTATTGATTATTATGATATTGAATAATGATAGAAATTTTACTTATGCATAAAACTATACCCATATCTAAAAGTGATTCATTATCTAACTTGACCATCACCGTGAATTCAAGTTCTCAGATCAGACCTGCATGATGCAGAAGGATGCCATTTTGACCAATTATATGGTCTCTATCCTCAACAATGGTGAAATGGTAAGATCCCCTTCTTTGTTGACAGAATAATTGCACATCACAATGGTTTGTAGCCATTATGTCACTAAAAGCCAGACCTCCCACCTGAGATGCAGGAATAGCTGTTGACATTCCTAATGTGCCTGACAGCATTGTTTAAGTACTCCTCTTTGGCAGGAGCAAAGTGCTTGATGATTTGTCCAACTTCAATGCATTCTACAGCGATATGAGAAATACCTCACTCAAGTGTAAGCTGAGAATGACTTATTAGACCCACAGACACACTGCCACCACAGAGGCTTACATTTTTTGTAGTCTCAATAGAGTAAATCTAAAATTCTGTTTATATAACACTAGTGTGTTAATGCTGTTAAACAGAGTGCTACTGACTGTTATTTGTATATGGTGACTTAGGATGAAACAAATCTCGGCTGCAGGATGAGCTGTGCAGGATAAGTTTATTATTTATTTTCAATTTTAATGAAGCTTATATTTACGGACTGTTGATGGCAAGCCCAAGATTTGGGGGGCTAAGCCCACCTACGTGAACATATACTGTTTAAATGTTTGGGGTCAGTAAGATTTTTTTTAAAGAAATTAATACTTCCATTCAGAAAGGATACATTAAATTGATCAAAAGTAATAGACATTTATAAAGTCACAAAAGTTTTATATTTCAAATAAATTCTGTTCTTTTGAACTGTTTAAGGAATGGTGGTTTCCACAAAATATGAAGTAGTGCATCTGTTTTCAACATTGATAAGAAATATTTCTTGAACACCAAATCAACATGATTTCTGAAGGATCATGTGGCACTGAAGATTGGAGTAATGGCTGCTCAAAATTCAGCTTTGCCATTAAAGGAATAAATAACATTTTAAAATATATTTAAATAGAAAACACTTATTTTATATTGCAATAATATAGAACAATATTACAATTTGCAGTGTATTTTGGTCAAATTATGAATCCATCCTTGGTGAACATAAGATACTTTTAAAAACATTTTTAAAAAATTTTATTTGACCCCAAACATTTGAATGGTATATCCTGACTTGTCAGATGTCAGTACATGTTAATACTTGTGTGTGGTTGTCAGGGTTGAACAATTGAACTGTCTAGGAAATGAAGAGTTCTTCCATCTTGCACAAAAGTTAATTAAATGATGAAATGTATATTCTATCCTCAATCCTTCACACTTCAAGGATTTTGACATTTTTTCAAAACTTTCAAACCAGATTTTGTCAAGCCAGCATTCAAACATTGAATATCAATTATAAAAAATGTTTTACATAAAAGTTCGATTCATTTTAATTCTACTTCCTTACTTTCAAATGGCAAATCTGCAAACTGTTTTCCACCTCAATTCAAATTCAGGAATTCAGGAACTGAATTGGAATATTAAAGGGGTCATGAACTGCCGTTTTACTGTTCTCTGACGTCCACTTATAATGATATCAAGATTTTTACACCAAAAAACATCATAATTTAGAAGTAATAGGCTATTTTCTGTCCTGATTTGACCCCCCTCATCTTTCTCTCTCAAGATTGTTGTTACAATCTTTCTGAAAATCCTGCGTCGAATTGTGCCTTGTTTGTAAACAAATCTGCGGTAAAATGAAGTGAACAATGGACCAAGTTCTTACTGACACGGTCTGGATCTTTATTAAAAATAAAATTCATCAACTCAAATAACTCATCAAATAAAGTTGGGATCAGAAGGAAGGCGATGCAAAATGGCTGTCTTCAGGGCCATTTTTATCGTTTGATTACTGCGTAGGTATGCGTTTTCTTCTCTCTTTATTCAAACTATGTGCACGAATCGATGGGCGGGGCTAAACAGGCAGTGATGTAGAAGCAGGCATTGATCTTCTTCTGAGGAGGCGGGGTTTAGCCACACTATTACGTCATAAAGTGGCACATTCCACAACCTGTCGTTTTGGCAGATTGGCTTCAAGATAAGCTGTTTTTAGACTAACGAGAAAGTTTGGAGTTCTGAAACTTACAGGAGGTTTTTATAGTACAATGACCTCTTATATGTCAAAAGATCATGGGAATTTTGATTTCTCAGTTCACGACCCCTTTAAAGGTATTCTCAATTCTAAATGACACACAAACCTGTTGACTGCAGTTTTTGATTTCACTGGAACAGAGGGCATTCAGATGAGACATGCGGAGCACTCGTCTGGGACAGCTATGCATGGCTCAGGCTCCACCACTAACTAAAGGGAAAGAACCAATGCTGTAACAAAACTTTAAAGTTGATTACCAACTTATAAGGTGAAGATTGACAGCAAAATCTCAGATATCTTACTACAACCACTAGTTTCAGCAAACAAAGAGTGAGATCACACAAATCACAGATCTTTAGAGAGGCCGAGATAAAAGACAAGTCCTCTAAACAGGGCCATACAACCTCTTGTTAACAGGATTTCAAAACAAAAGTGAATCTATTGTGCACATAAGCATAATTTATGTTTGGTCAGCAAACAAGCCAAAGCTTTCTTATGTATGCAAATTACTGTAACATTTATAAAGCAAAAATGCAATGAATGGTTCACGTTTTCCAACTCACTCATAAAGTGTTTTGTGCTGTCCACATTTACAGCGACCTCCCAATAATGCTCTTACTCTCAGTCTAAATTACATTAACAGGGTTGAATATTTTCAGTGTTCTTGGTTGTTACTGTTTTGGATTTGATCCTGCTCCATTAGCAGGTGATTACTGGGTGTATAATGAGTGCATTAATAAAACAGACACAGCATATGGAAAAAAAGACAGAGGCAAAAACAGCAGCAGTCTGTTTATCTTTCCCACTCAGTCCCACTGATCAGAAAAGGAATTAATTTTTTAGGAATTAAGCACAATACGGCTAAATTCCATGGATTGGGAGAGCTGTGCGAGCATTATAGTGCAAGCGGATCTTACCGTCCTTCCGGTCTCATTTATTTCCTTTTATTCCATCCATAGCATTCTATTGTTACACGTAATGTGTTCCACTCTATTCCATTTCATTCCATTATACAGAGTACCATTCCTAGCCATTTACGTCCATTCATTTTCATTCTGTTCTATTCCATTCCATTGGTGCAAGCTGATATCACATTGCCGTCATTGTGGCTGGTAACTGCATCCAACATCCTGATTGGATTGAAAGTGGGAGTGAACATTGGCAGGACCCCAAAGTCTGGTGGCCTTGTGTACGGCCACCCTCTCAGGTTCACACACACCCACAAAGGCCCTTCTTTGAGCCGACGAAAGAGTTCACCGTCAGACAAAAGCAGGTCTGTCATTCCCAGTGGGTAATTATTGTTTGCTGCAAGCCTACTGACATGCTGAATGTTAGCTCAAGACCACTTTTAAGTCCCTATTATTTGCTTTCTCTCTTCCTTTTAGGGGCATGTTTCTCATGGTCCTCTGTGTCTCGCGCACACAATCAGTTCTTCATTATCAGGGGTCACATTGGTCCCGGGTAACTGGTCTACCCTTCAATAAAGAGACTGAAAAAGAGGGTGAGATGGCTGCTTTACTGCTGTGAAGGATGCCAGATGAAACGGGTTATATCAATAGGTTATAACTAACTGAAGATTTCAATTCAGATTTCAATTCATCAGATTCATAAATTCACAATGATTCATGATTCGCTCATGGTGTATGAAGACAGACTCTAGAGTCATGCAAAAATCTAGTGAAAATAATTGAAATTGAAAGAAATATATCAATTACTAGTTTCTCATACAAAACAGAATTTCTACAGCTTTTTGTGTTGCTTCATGCAGGCTACTCCATAACTGTCTTTTTGGACAAGTACTCTACTGCCTTCTTCTAGTCCTTGAGATGCTTCGCTGGAAAAATTACACTTTCTCATCCATTTGCTAAACCACATGGACCACTGCAGATCATTACCAAGTGTTCAAGGCCCCTTGAGACAAAAGAAGACTGTGGAAGCTGTCTGCATTAGTCAGGTCTCCATCATGAAGAGCAGACCAAAAGACTGACCTTGAATAATGGCCATGACACCATTAGTGCACTATTACAAATCTCTTGCTGTCAGCAGACAGCCTCTTTATCTTGGTTACGTGATAAAGTCAAAAAGCCTATAATTAACCTGGCCAAGGTCCCATTAATTCCACTTTGAAATTTATGAACCACAATACATGGCTTATTTTGTCTTTTATAATTCCCTATATTAACTATATAGTGATATATACCTTAGCGTTCAAATAAAATGACTGAAAAAAATGTTTTGATCACACTGCCCACTCCTAGATCTTTACAAGGTCCTATTAATTCTATTTTGGACTTTATGAACCAATATACTTAGCTCATTTCGTCTTGTGCAAGTCCCCATATTAACTATTGTGATGTGAAACCATTAGTTTCATATAAAATGACTAAAAATTATATTTTGGTAATACTGGCCACCCCTAGATATTTATGGGCTTCACTTCAGATCTACCACATCACTGTGACAATCCATCCTCCATTATAACCTTAAAAGGCCAAATTCTCAGTCCCCCCCTCCCCCCCTTCATTAATCAACTGACCTACGGTTCATCATCCATGGAGTAAAAAAAAAAAATTTGTCATGGCTTAGAGCTGTGAAAAGTTGACAAGACTCAAAAGCATCTGGAGGCCAGCTTTCAAACACTCTGTTCACACCTTCACAAGAACACACACACTAACCTCTCCAAACTGCACCCTGTCGTTAACTCCAATGGGCACATAAAAGTTCTAATATACCAGTCACTGGGGATTTGAAAACATCTGGCCAGACTTTTTAAATTGTGTTTTGAAACAGAATCTAATTAAGATGCAAATCATTAGAATAACTGGCCAGATTGCCAAATGATTGATTCATAAATACAGTTATGCATGATGTAAGTGTAAATTACTGTATGTAAGCTATAACATACAGTCAAGCCCATCAATACTCAAAAAATATACCTCAATGATTGGCAAGTGATCAGGACCCGACGCACTTCCCAAATAAATATTTAAGATGAAATTATTTTAATATGTGGCTAGAGAGTAGAGACCAATGTGTGCAATGAGAGATATGAAACAAGCACATCTATGCATGAAATTAGTTGGCAGGGACAACTGTCAATTGTACAATAAGTTTTAAAGAAGTTTTATAATTTTACGAATCTGCATTAATTTAGGAAACCAACATACACATTTTTTTTAGGATGCCAACACAAAAAGAAATAACTATTGCTCTGTTCTCTAATATCCCACCACCTGTCCAAACAGCAATGACTTGAGTATTATTTACTGTAAAAGCCCAGTGTTACTGATAATCCAGGACTAAGCTGAAAATCTGGCTGAGATGTATACGGCTGCTCTGCAGTCAACCCATTCTTCAGGCTTTCCTTGTAACAGATAAAAAAAAAACCTCAATAGATTATCCTTTCTCCATGGATGAAGAGAGATATAGAGGAAATATGATAATAAAGTCTTATGTTTGTTTATATATATATAATGCTTTTAGAAAGACTGAGTACAGAATGTTTAGTGTGGTGAACATCTATAGTTTATGGTGAAGAGTGTAATTTTACATCACTAGCATCAGTAACAAAAAAAAGTGATAGTTTTCAAACAGGTTTCTCAAACACTCCTTCTGTCCTACCATTGGTCAGGCAAATAAATAGCCCCACCCAAAACTCACACCATTGGTTAAGCCGATTGCTATGCTGGGCTGGTCGGGATGCTCAAACAAGCAAAACAAGTAATGGTGTTTACACTTCTTGAGGCATTCAACCTACAAATGGCTTGCTTATTGTCTCTGCATATTAAGCTGGAGTAGGAAAAAGTATTTTACATTGGAAAAATAACACTTTCTGGAGTTTCTGAACACCCAGATAACTCAATCAGTGCTAAAAGATTCAGCCTTTCATTGAGCGAATGGTAAAACTGCTGAATTTTTCAGTTAAAACCCATTTTCTGAGCCAAGCATTAACAACAGATTTATGCTTATGCTGTCAAGACTGCACATCCTCCGACAGCCCAGACATCTTAAATGCAAACATTACTTACTGTAACTCAAGAGTTCAACTCAAAAAGCTTAGTGTGATCTTGCTCAGAATTATTTCAACTCGCACTGATGCTGAGAGTCAGCGATTGGTCAAGCAGAGGACAGGGATGATCAAAGAAACATTATGCGCAAAGCTTTCATACAACTGACAAAAAAAAAAAAAAAAAAGATTTAAAAGATTGCACTGCCCTTCCCTTAATCTTTGAAGATACATGAAATACATTATTTGAAGTTAATATCTATGTAGTCAAACATGTAGCCAACAATTCAAGCTCTGTTCCAAAAACATAATATGCACAATCCTTTTCCTAAGGGTAGACAACTTATTTATGATGCCTAAGATACTTAAATCCCAAGGCAGTATCTTTCATGGATAAAAACGATTCTAAAATGCATCTTAACAAGCGTAGTGAAATGTCAATTAAACAGTAAATATATTTAATAAATAATAAAACTATATAATTGAATAGCAAAAAGGCTGTGAGGTAGTTGCTAAGTTTTGGAATAGACTATGTTTGCTATTGCAAGCAAGAACATCTTACAATGAAACGTCTTCAGGACATGCACATTTGTACGCAGGCCAAGACACAAATCTGAAGTAATGCAATCAACTTCAATTCTGCCAAGGTCAAGAAGAGAGTTCAGCAACAGACAGTAAGTCTTCAACTCATACAGTACACTCAGCACTCTTGATAACAGGAAATTAGGAGTAAAGCGATGAATACAGAGCAATAAAAGCTATAAAGGATAAATCAATGAGAAATATTTGAAGTATCACAGAGCTCAGGGGACCAATTTTTTTAAAATAAGATATATTCTCTTTTATTATCGATCTAATTTTGTCCAGAGACTTGCTGTTGGACAGCAAACTCTGTTAGGAACCGAATGAGTGTGTAGCCCCATTTATACTATACCTACTATTAACACCAGTCTCAGACAACACACTTACAAGTGGCCAGCACTAAACACAGGTGTAAACAGCCTCCAAAACTCTGTCATTACTGAAGATTTATTTCTCAAATTTCTATTTTTTAAATGGATGGCAACTTGAAATTTCAATCAATGTTTTAGACAAAATGTATAGAAGACTCAGATGTGACGTAAAATACCATTCACATAAAATACCATGATTTATCATTTGTCAAACTGGTCCTGTAAACAATATGAAATGATGGTAAATAATAACTCAATTTAAAAACAATTAAATAGAAAAATGAATCCTGCCCCAGATCACATTATGATGTTGTAGCCCTGTCTGTTCCACATTTGGCTACAGACACATGGATAAACTTCAATATGCAATCCAATGTGCACTCAGCAATTATAACCCCCAGGAAAAAGTAGATTGATTGTTGAACTGTAGTTTAGTTCCTTACCTAACTGTGCAACAGCTGAGATTTGACACTTTCAGGCCAGATTTACCAGTTGATTTCTGACTAGTAAAGTGGAACTGAATAATTCATCTTCTGAACAGTGCTGAATAGGCAAAGATCTGCAATAAGAGCAATAGCAGCTGATCACAATTTAAAGTAAAATGTTGCAGTGTCATATTTAACATACTGATTAGTGATCAAAGTCTGAATTCTAAATACATATTAGATTTTAATTGACTGCTTTAAATTAATTAAGTGCCCTTGATTAATTGAGTGTACCTGAGGCTCGAACAAAAGCTGAAAAATATTTAAACATGACATGAGATTGCATGTCTATCTGCCATTGTACCAACTAAATGTCAAAGTACGAAATGCAGATAATAGACAAATCTTTTTAAGATTAATTTAAATATAAAATACTGAAATCCTGAGGGGAAAACCATTTTAAAAATATTGATAAGTTTTGATTGTTTTAGATTCTTGTAAATGTGTAGGTTCTAAATCTTTGATAAAAAAAATGAAGTGTTCTAGTTTGAAAATAGAGCACCCAGTTTACAACAGTCTTACAGTACATCACTGCTCTAGTCATTGAAATGACATCTGCAAACATCAAACATTTCCTAAAGACTCTATAAATCACATGGAACACAGACTCCGATCAGAGGAGTTTCATACCTCCCAGAACACAGGCTAAT